CACCAAACTCTTTCTCTCTCTCGTACATACATGCACAGTATAGTAATGTATATGTTCACGTTCTAGTGCTAGGTCTATTCAGTTCATATCGATGGTAGTAGCGCAGGTTAGTAGCGGGGAAGAAGTCTTACCTGTCTCCTTCCCTTATCGTCGTTGTAGACAGTTGATGCCTTTCGACCACACTCCCTAGCGGCAAACCCGCCGAGATCACCGCAATCCAGACACCTCACCTGATCATTCAATTGGTAGGAGCGACGTTGGTGTGTACAAAGGCCAGGGACGTAATCAGCGCGTTTTACTACGCATTCCTTGTTCAAGATCGATAACTACGACAGTCTATCCATATCAATAAGTAAAATATAAAAATCAATAATAATAGTAGAGATAATAACAATATTAGTAATAACAATAATAAGTCATAACTGCGCCAGCCCTGACCATACGAGACGAAGAAGAGGGAGGTTAGACGAAGAAGAAGGGAAGATGGAATTTTCATCGACATCATCTCTTCGGCACAGGCCCAAATAGTCCCTCGTCAAAATGTCTGAATTCCCTTGTCTAGTCTGGATCCAATCTCGTCAAGTCTCAAGTCACAACTCCCTTTTTCTCTCGTCGTAGTCTATCGATACTGAGAAGTTAGGCGATGAGAGGGTGAGATGAAGAAGGTGGACTGAGAAGAGGAAGAAGAAGAACTCAATCTCTCTTTCTGCCTCACACACCTTGCACTTCTTCCATTGACACACACACATACACGTCCACACTCTTACTATGGAGGGCATGAATAAGAACGGAATGAATCTTCCCCTTAAACGTGGAAGCATTCATTCAATTTTATTTATTTATTTATTTATTTATTTATTTTATTGATGGAAGCACCGGGATTGGTCGCGACTTACCCGTTCTTCCTCTCGCTTCCCGTCGTCGTCGAGTCACCGTTGGAGCCGTTGTCTTTAGCAGCCGTCTTCGTCGTTGTTACTGTCGTCTTCGGCAACCCGTCGTCGTCGTCTGGCCAGGTGAGCCTTTCCCTTCCACTTCTTCTCACCTTCTCCCCCCTCCTTCTTCTCCTCTCTTCTCTCCTTCTATCTTTCTCTTCTCCTTCTCTCTCACGTGCGACCACCTTCTCCTTCCTTCACTTTCCCCACCCTTCTCTCTCGCGGTTCTTCTCTCCTTACGCGTTTGTCTCTCCGGCTTCCTCATGTTCCACCGCCTCTCAGCGTTCTCCCCAGCTCTCGCGCGGCCGATTCCCGATCTTGCCTCTGCGAGATCTCACGATGGCTCACTCTCTCTCCTACGAAGGGACCCCTGCGCTAAAGGTAGATGCGGTACGATAGGGATGGCCAGACCCCTTTCCCCTCTTCGGATGAATCATCCCAGCTTTTGCGTATAGTTTCACTCGCACGAATCAGGGAAGTAGAAGTTACGGGCAAAAAGAGAAAATGAATAATAACTAATAAAACAAAAAGAAACGAATATAACCCCCTAAATAAAATAAATTAATAAGAAAGAAAAGAAATGAACGAATCTAACAAGGGTTACCATTAACTGCCAAGGGCAGTATCTCGTTTCAACGAGGCAACTACTGCTACTACTTCTTGATAGAGGTCGCGGGTTCGAGTCCCGGCCTTTCAAACCTAGGCAAAACGAAAAGTAAAGCTCCCTGTCAAAAAAGGAGCTACCTCGAAGGGAGGCGGGCCTTGATCCCCAAATCCCCTGCATATCAATCGTGTACTGAAACCTATAGAGCTAGCTCCCACTTCATATAGAAGGGGAGTAGTTCTAGTATATATAAAGCAACGCGGCTCAGTCCAACCAATGGTCTGAGCCCATTCTAGCCCGTGCTAACGTGCACACTTGCTAATCTACGTGCCTATCTGAATGCCTGTTGCCTTGAGCACGGGCGTGACCCGTAAGGCACGTACTTTCATCGGAAGGCCCGAAGGGCCGGTACTTAGCCGTGGCTGCGGCATTAAGGGTCGCAGCGGGGTAATCACCCAAGTGGCGGGTAGGCTGGTACTACACTAAGTAGAGGTAATGTGGCGGGTACTTGACTCGGAGGCAGGAAGTTGAAAATGTTTAAACCCCTGGTACCAGTAGACAGATAGGTACCAGACCACGTCCCAGTGCATGTCGTAGATCTACCTGACACAATATTAACCCAACTGACCCTTCGACCTCTTCTGTCGAGGGGTATCACTACTGAACCTAATCATCACGACACGCGTTATAGTAACGCGCGCACACACTTAACGAAATTTTCTCACCGATTTTTGCCCCGGCCTCAGTGGCCGAGGATTTTGCTTCCAGTGTCACGCCAAGCGTGCACACCCTTCTCGTTCCAGACCGGCTACGTCATGGTAGCTGATGCCGCCACCGTGCCGAATGCAAAGACATGGCAAAATACCCTTGTAAGGGTATTTTGTCTGACAGCGCTGCAAGGACTTGTTAGTAGACGATGAGGGTTTCAGAGTGGGAATTTGATTTTGACGGAGATGTGCAGCTAATCCCTCGGTTGAGGGCAATCGATGCTGCTCATCAGGTAATAGAGTGTGCCCGCGTGTCGGTTTGGTTCATCACGCATGTCTAATGTAGGATGGACACGTGGCATGTTAACATGAATTCAGGATTGTTTTCAGATTACCCCCTTATAAATGTTGAGGGACGTTGGACCTGATTTCCAGCAGGTGTTGCTCCCCACCAATAGATGGAGCCTCCCCCCAGGTGCTAGTGGTGTCTGCTCTTATCAGCACCCCTAGCATTCACTCCGGTTGTTTTCTCAAAACACACACACACACACACACACACACACACACACACACACACACACACACAAACAAACAAACAAACAGAATTCACACCACACAGCAAAAGGAAAAAAGAAAAGCGTCCTGGTACCCAGCCCGTTAGCCACGCCAGGTACAGATCTGCGGACCCAGAGGGGGCAAGTGTCGGATACCAAACTGTTCCTAAGCTTTTTTTTTTTTTTTTTTTTTTTTTTTTTTATCATAGCTCCAATCTATTGGCGGGGAGCAGCACCTGCTGGAAATTGGGTCCAGCGTCTCTCATACAATGAGAATAAAGTTTTGCTGACGAATATAAAGATGTGACAAATGAGCTGAGACCTGCCTCTTCAGTCCGCTGAGGACCGCCAGAGATCCATACATTTCTAGCCTTTTTTTTTTTTTTTTTTTTTAAACCCCGTCCCCTCAGGTGATTGTGGTGCTGGTAAGAGCAGACACCACTGCCACCTGGGGAGAGGCTCCATCTATTGGTGGGGAGCGTCACCTGCTGGAAAACGGGTCCAGCGTCCCGTATACAGACTGCAATCAAAATAACATCAGAACACAATGAGGAGGGTTCCTGCCAGCATTGATTACCCTGGGTTCCAGGGGATTGACTGAGCAGGGTGCCATCATCAAACCTGCTATCCGTAATCTACCCTGTGGGGCCCTGGATACCGCCTGTAATGCGCTCATCCTTCTCAGACCCCGACCCACCTTCCATACAAATCCTGTAGTAGCGAGTCTTTATTGCAGAGTGACGGGCTGTAAGCTAGACCAGGGCATGGACAGGCAACGGCAAAGGGGGGGGGGGGCACCTCTTCACCTTGTATACGGCGCCAGATGTCTGCTACTATTTACTAGCTCCTCTACCCCCCACCGCAAGCTACGTCCCCCTCAGCAGCAATTCGAAGCCTGCCGAATCTTCAAGAGTACCGTCCCCAAAACCGGATCCATGGGACCAGACTGAGTGTGTCCCAAGCCAGGCCGTGCGCGGGTAAACTGGCTCGGTTCATCAGGGAAAGAAAAGAGAGGAAAGGAAAGGAAAAACAGACACACAGAAAAGCAAAGCAGTCAATCAAACACATCCCATCACAGCCTACCTTCACTAATCAAAGACACACCCTATCCAAAGCAAGTACAACACACCCTATCCAATGTTTTGAAACTGATGGTACAAGTACAGCACAACTACTGCAAGTAGCGATCCACCCTATCCGATGTTTGCCACCCAAACTGAAGGTACAGGTACACAACAACTACTGCAAGTATCGATCGACTCAAACTGGAGGTACAGGTACATCCCAACTACTGCAGGTAGCGATCCACCCTATCCGATGCTAAGGGCCTCGTTAGACCCTCCTTGAAAAATCCTCAGGAATTAGGACGAAGTCCTTGGAAAATTTCAAGGAATTCGGCGGTGTCGTTACACCGCGTCCTAAACGAAAGGGTCCCAAGGAAAAACCTTGGAGGTATCCCGCGGCCAATTTCATACGCATATACGAGGCCGCGGGGGAGGATGTCCGTCGTCGTCGAGGGATGTCCGTCCGTCGTCAGGCGTGGTCCAGTGGCGGCGCAAGTAGGCCTGCGATGTTGCGCTGCGAAAAGAGGCGCGAAGGTTCCTTTTCAAAATTCGAATTTCAAACCGTCATTACATACGCACCAGCGCGCCGTGGCGTTACCACCCCTGGAGCTACCAGTGTGCGAAACGTGTGCGCGGACGATTTGCGGCGCCCATCGCTGTTGGCGACTCGTTCATCCGATCGTCAGCCGGCGCGGCGCGAAAGGTGACGACGTTGGAGCGCGTGAAGTGGTGCGTGTCCCACTTTCCTCTTCCTGCAGACGACGATGATCCGGTGGCTCGCCATAGCTTCGCGCACCCGTGATTCGTGTACGAGGAGCTGCCCTCGACCACTCCAACGTCCGCTGGGACAGTGTGCGACGAGGGTCCAGTCGTCCGTCTGTTGTGCGTGTTCAACAAGGCGCCGTCGGAGCATCGTGATGGAACACGTGTCGCAGGAGGTTCGTGGCAAGACCTTGAGCAGGGTGGAGAGAAATGCGGTGNCGTGTTCAACAAGGCGCCGTCGGAGCATCGTGATGGAACACGTGTCGCAGGAGGTTCGTGGCAAGACCTTGAGCAGGGTGGAGAGAAATGCGGTGCTTGCAGCAATGTCGGCGGTGGCCATGCGATGTCGCATCGAGAGAACGACGGCGCGGTTGAGGACGAGAGTGTCTATTCGCAGGCAGCGTGAGCTCCTCCAGCACGTGATGGCGGCGCCAGACTGTGTCCATGTCCGAATCCATTATAGTTGTGTGCCACCATGTCATCCGGGGTGATACCGCGGGCGAATCCAAGGTGGTGGATGAGGAGAAGGACGGGTGGCACGTGGGAGGATCTGCGGAAGATGGACGATGCCTCAGAAGAGTACTACAAGGAAAAGTTGAGGATGTCCCCCAGGGTGTTCATGGAGATCGTGGAGGCGTTGTCCCCTCTTCTGCAGCGGCGGGTGACATTCTACAGGGTTCCTTTGCAGCCGGATCACATCATCGCATATGCGTTGTACCGATGGGCGAGCGGGGAGACGTACGAGAGCAGCACGTCGTCATTCGGAATAGGGCGCGCATTCGGGTTGATCGTAGTGGAGGACGTTACGAGGGCGCTCCTGAGGGTGTACAATGACAAGATCGTTTGGCCTACTGGGATGCGTCGTACGCTCATTCTGCGTGCCTTCGAGGCGAAGGGCTTTTCCAACTGTTATGGCTGCATAGACTGCACGCACGTTTACGTCGACAAACCGGCGAACGCTCCTTCGGAGAACTACTTCGACCGGAAGCATCATTTCTCCGTTGTAGCGCAGGTGGTGGTGGACCTGGACTTGCGCATCACGGACGTTTTCGTCGGTTACCCAGGGAGCTGCCATGACATTCGGGTGCTTCAGCTCTCCAGTCTGTGGGCGCATGCGGAGGAGGGGGATCTTTTCCGTGGAGCTCCTGTTGTGCTGTCGTTCGGAGTGAGGACACACGGTTACATTCTGGGCGACAACGGGTATCCGCCACTAGAGTGGATTGTCATGCCGTACGGGGGGACCGATCAAATCCCCGACGAGGAGAGGTTCGACAACAAGCAAAAGGTCGCCAGGGGAGCAGTGGAGAGAGCTTTCGGGAGATTGAAAGGGATGTGGAGGCTGTTCCTCCGCACACACAAGACGAATATGGACACTCTCCCACAACAGTTTCAGGCCGTGTGCATTCTGCACAACATCCTCCTTGACGCTGGCATTGAGTTCGACGAGAACTTGCTGTGGGAGGTGGATGCTAATGGCGTGCGGTGGCGAGTGGACTTAGGGTTGGGTCATCCACCCCACCCCATTGCTGAGAACTTCAATCGGCCCCGTGCGTCGGCGCTACGCGAGGCGTTGGCGGAGCGGATGAAACACGCGTGAAGGCGCGCACCGCGTCGACGGCACGTGGCTCTGCCGTCCTTGTGGAGGTCGTGCTGGGGTCATCGTCCAACGGAGGCGTTCTGTGTTCTGTCGCTGTCGCAAGCGTGTGTCGTGCCCTGGGGTGTTGTGTACGTTCACTGCGGATTGTCATTGATCACTAATGTCGCGGAGCCGTCGGCGGAGACACTGTTAATCCGCAGTTCTTTTCCTTTTTTTTTGTTAACCATTTTATAGTAGGTTGTTAACGCCCGGTGATGCGGTTTGTTGTGAGTGAGTGCGCACAGCTGCGCGATTTCGATTTCGAAGAAGACGATGTCTGTCGGTGGGGTAATATGTCCAGAGGTGACTCGTTATTGTTCTCCTTTTTTCAAATGTGTACCGTAGACCGAAGTTCCGGCTGCGTGTGTGCGGCTATCGGTGCTCTGTGACAATGG